CTTTTATTATAGGACTTGCATTTTTTTTTTTAATTTAATACAAATACTTTATTTATATATAATTAATATTTAATTCATCTATACATTCAAATATCTTACAAATTAATCATATATACACACATAGATATGCATTATGCGTCGCATATCATCCGCATTATTTTTTTAAGGTTTACGTGTAAAATTTTTTTAATTTTTTAAATAAATTTTTTTTTTAAAGATGGAGACGCCTTTAAAAGTTTTTTCCTTGGGTCCCACCTTTTGTTTTTAGATATCAGACATCTACTTTGATGATTTTTTTCCATTAAATTTTTCATATTTTATTATAATATTTTTTCAGTGCGTCTTGCTTGTTTTTCAATTTTTTTCGTTTAACTCTTTTGTTTTTTAGAATTTTCTTTAGGTATTTTTTCTTTTTTTTTAAATGTTTCATACATATCTTTTTATTTTCTCTGAACTAACTTGATATTACATTTTATCCATTTCTTTTTTTTTCAAAATGAAACGATAATTTTTTTTAATACCTTTTTTTTATGTTTTCATATAAAAAGTATGCCATTTGTTCTTTTTTTAACCTTTTTCTCTTTTTTTCTTTTTTATACATTTAATAAACAAATCTTTAGATGTAATTTTTTATAATTAATTTTTTTTTCAAAGGTACGTCACATGTCAAGTTATTTTTTTTTCTCTTTGTTTCTTTTTTTTTTTCTATTTATTTATTTAACAAAAAATTAAAATATTTTAAAAAAATTTAAGACTCATTTTATATTATTATTAAAATTTTTTTGTTAATGGTTTTTTTTTTTTGCAATAAATATTAAAGAATATGTTAACGTCCCATTTGAGTTTTTTCCGTTCTTGTTTTTTAGATCTATTTTTTTGTTATAGGATCCACCTAACACCAAGTATGTCCCGTGTTTGCATTTTTTTATTCCTTTTTCTCTTATTATTATTTATTATTTTTATATTTAATAAATATTTTAATGAATTTAATTTTTTGTGACCCCTTGACGTTAATTGTATATCACTTATCTAATCATTTGCTTTTTTTAAAAAAAAAAATTTATTTAATTTTTAATAAATTTTTTAAAATATTTTAAAATTTCTAAAAAAGTATAATCTGTTTAATATTTTTATTTAATATATTTTAATTTGATAATTTAAAAAAAAAAAAAAACATATTATGAAAGTTAGTTATCGCATGATATTTGATTCTTGTTCCTTGTTTTAATTTTTAAAAATTTTTTGATATAAGTTTATTTTTTTATTTCATTTCATTTTATATTTATATATATATATATGTATTATATTAATAAGATCATTGTTTAATATTTTAATTTAATAAATTCACTTTTTTAACTTCTTAATTTTTTATTAAATTAATTTAATAAAAAAATACCGATTAAGGTATCACATTGCAACTCTATTTAACATTTTCCTTTCACATTTTTATTTTTTTAATTAGATCAATTTTACCATAATAGTGTCGATTGATAAAGATGTTGAAAGAATTTGTATTCTATAGATTTAATCAATCTCAATTAGATAAGGAGTCAAATTGAATAAATAAGGAGGTAAATTTTTTTAGATCGATGTCTAAGTTGAAGCATGTTTCCCTTTTCTAAAAAAATAGGAGATCATGGTGGAAATATGTTTAGCCTGTTTTATCCCAATCAATTTTAAAGTATATATAAAAATATATATTTTATTATTAATTTTGTTTTAAATTTTATATTAATAGAATAATTATTTGATATCTTAATTTAATAAATTAATATTTTAAAATTAATTACAATGTTCGTATAACATCCTATATGAACTCTCTTTTTTATTTTTTTAAATTAAATAACTTTCGTAAAAAAAATAAAGCTAATAAAAAAAATCACATCTCAACCAATTTATTTTTTTGTTATCTTTCGCCCTTTTTAATTTTAGATTCGATGAATTTTACAATAAAAACTAATTAAGTAGATATGATAAAACAAAAAATTTTTCACTTGCGACAACATGAGGGCATTTCACTAGTCTAATATATAAATGCTGCAAATGGGTTGGTATTGAGTAGACCACGTGTCGGCTCTTGAAGCTTTTTTTCTTTTGTTTATTTGGGTTTTTTTTTTGTTTTTTATTTTTTTAATGCATTATATCTTTTATCATAAATTATTTTTTAAGTGAGGCCCATTACTTTTTTATGAAACCCATTATTTTCCCCAATTTTGCCTTTTTTTTTTTTGTTTTCATTTTCATTTTCGCTTTCATTTTAATTTTTTTCCATTATATCAATTTTATTTTTTTCAAGTATGACTTTGAACTTTCTGGTGAGACCTTTTTTTGTTTAATTTTTTTGTTGTTGTTATTTTTTTATATTTTGTTTTTTAAAATTTTAAATATTTAATATTATTAAATTAATTTATTATTTTCAAGTTTGGTTTATTACTTTTCTGTGGGACCCACTTTTTTCTCTATTTAATTTTTTTACTCTTTTTAATATTTTATATTTAATTTTTTAAATATACGATATCATAAATTTTTTTCGAGATGTACTATTTTTTAATGGTGGGACCTACTTTTTTTTTTGGCCCTTTTATAAGATTTTTTATATTTATATTTTTTACTTTTTACAACCTATATATAAATGTTACATATTTACATATAGGGTTGTCAAGTGTCTAATTTGACACGTGGCAACTCTTTGGTTTTTTTTAGACGAGGCCCACCTACTTTTCTTTTTAAATTTTTAAAAGGTGGGACCTATATCTTATTTATTTCTTTATTTGGTTTTTTGGTGTGGAATCCATCACACGGCTTTTTTTTTTTTGGTTCTTTGATTATTAGAATCACTTTTTTTTTATTAGTTTTTAAAAGGCATGAAACTCACTTTGTTTTAAAAAAACTTATTTTTTATGTGGGACCATTATTTTCTATCAAGTTTTTTGTTTTTATGTTTTTCAAATTTATGGGCTCACTTGTTTTTTTATTTTTTAAAATTTTTGAAGGGTATGGATAACATATATTTTTTTATTATTTTTGGACGTGGGATCAAGACCTTGGTTTTTTTTCCCAACTAGTTTTTTATTTCTATTATTCTTTACTTTTTTATTTTGGTATTCTTATTTTTTAAATTTAATATAAATATTTTATTTATATATAATTAAAATTTAATTTATTTGTGCATTTAAATATCTTATAAATTATTGTGTATATGTGCAAATATAAATTGAGTATCATTTTCATCCGTATTATTTATTTTAAAGTTGATACTTGTAATTTTTTAATTTTTTTTAAAAAATGAGATTTACTTTTAAAAATTTATTCCCTTGGACTCACCTTTTTTGTTTTTAAACATGAGATTCACTTTTTTTTTTTTTGAGACCCATTTTATTTTTTCCCCATTTAATTTTGTATGCATTTTATTATGATCCTTTGTCAATGTGACTTTTTTTCTATTTTTTCATTAACTTTTTTTCCCGGTATCACGTGTAATATTTTTATTTTCTTTTTAAAAATATTTTATATGTATTTTTTATTTTTTAGAACCAACTTGATATCAAATTTTAATCATTCTTTTTTTAAGAAAGATTTGATAAATCTTTTAATAATTTTCACCTTTCTACATTAAAAGTACACCGTGTTTTTTTTTTGTCACCTTTTACTTCTTTTTCCTTTTCTATTTTTTATATTTTTAATAAAAAAAATTTAGATTTTGTTTTTTATAACTGACTTTATCTCAAAAGTACATCGCATACTAAGTTGTTTTTTTCTTTTTCTTTTTTCTATTTATTTCATTTAATAAAAAATTGAAATATTTTTCAAAATTTAAGACTAATTTTATATTATTATTAAAATATATCTTTTTCATTATTATTTTTTTATTATTTTTTAAAAATATTGACGAATATGTTGATGTCACATCAAATTTGCTTTTTTCATTTTTTTTAGATTTAATTTTTTGTTTGGAGACACATTTAACACTAAGTATATGTCATTTGTTTGCTTCTTTTGCTCTTTTTTTTTTTTTTCTCTTATCCATTATTTCCCATTTTATATTTAATAAATATTTTAATAAATTTAATTTTTTGTAGCCCCCTTACGCTAAGTTTGTATCATGTAACTAATCATTTGCTTCTTTTTTTTTAATGAATTTCTTTAATATTTAATAAAATTTTTAAAATATTCTAAAATTTTAAAGAAGTAGGATCTGTTTAATATTATTGATTTAAGATATATTCTTTTTATTTGATAATTTAAAAAAAAGATATTACGGAGTTTGTCGTACATAGATATTTTATATTTGTTCCTTTTTTTCATTTTTTAAAATCTTTGATATAACTTTATTTTTATTATTTCATTTCATTTTGTATTTATATATGTATTGTATTAATAGCATCATTATTTAATATCTTAATTTAATAATATTTTTTAAATATTTTAAATATTTTCTTATTTTGTTATTAAATTAATTTAATTACAAAAAGAGTCCGACTGAGATGTCCTCGTTGTGAAAATGTTTATCTTTTTTCCTTCCACTTTTTTACTTTTTAATGGAATTAATTTTATAATAAATGATGTCGATTGATAGAGATGTAAAAACAATTTATATTCTACAAGTTTAATCCATTCCGATTAGTTAAGGGGGCAAAATTTTTTAGATTGAGGTCAAAGTTGAAACATGTTTTTTTTCTTACAAAAAAAGGGAGATTAAATCAAACCCATGTTTATAATATTTCATCTTGACTAATTTTGAAATCTATATAGAAATATATATTTTATTATTAATTTTATTTTATATATTATATTAATAAAGTGATTATTTGATAAGCTCTTTTTTTTTTCTTTTTTAATTTCTTTGCCTTCTCATTTTTTTTCGTTTATTAGCTTTTTATTTTTTATTTTTTTAAATAAGATAACTTTTATGAAAAAACAAGACCAATCGAAATGATCACATCTCAATCTTCGTTTCTTTTTTTATTTTTTGTTTTTAAATCAGATGAATTTTGTATTAAAAAACCAATTAAGTAAATATAACAAAACAAAAAATTTTTACGTGCAACGCGGAATATTTTGCTTATGCATCTTAAATATTGCTCGAGACACTGATTAATCCTCTCAGTCTACCCATCAAATTCTAGGCGGTCAGCTATGCTTAATGGAGCTGTGGTTCCAGTAGTTTCATCAACTCCTGCCAGAACAAGCCGGTGAGGACCTTAACTCTGCAAGAAATGACAATCCTTGGTTTCCCCTGTAGTTTGTGAACCTGATTGAGTTATATCTTAGGCTACTTCCATGGCTGAATAAGGGTGGGATAGGGGAAGGAAATGGCCATACTTGGTGAATTTATCCCCTATTATCATAATACAGCTAAGTTTTTGAGATAAGCGTAACCCTTCAATAAAATCCATGCTAATTACTTCCAGGCCTGATGTGGTACAGGAATTGGCTGCCACAGTCGAAGATAGAAAACACGTTTTATCTTTGTTTTATCTTTGTTCCTTCAACAGGTATCACACCATTTGATGTACTGACCAACTTGTTGCTTAATTCCAGGTATTGTCCTTAATAATGCAGATCAATTTGTCCAGGTTAAAGTTTCAAATCCTTCAGCAATCTCCCCAAAGACCTGCAATGATATCTCTCTCTTAGGAAAAGTAGGATATTATCAAAATTCAAACAAAAGAATTAACATACAATGTAAGAACAAGAAGCTCTACTAAATAAAGGATATAAATTAATGATTTATGCACTGCATCAAACAGTTCCTCCTTAATACTCATATCAACAATGGATAGCATATTTCCTTTGGCAATTCACTTTCATGGAACGAATGACGTACCTTGCTAAGAAATAGCAGGAGTGTCCATCGCATGTGTCTGAAACAGATGCACTAATTTTTTTTTTCAAGTATTTCCTTATATTTGGAGGGTCAAGACCACACACCAATATCCAATTTGAGACAGGATATGTGTTTGACATAGGTACCTTAAGAGTTGAAGCAACATAGCAAATAGCCACTCTGAAAGGTACCAACAGCAACTCATAAAAATCCAAAACAGCTCTCAAATTTCAAAAACATTTCAGCAAAACTCTTAAAAACACAAACATGGGGCATATGAAGGAATATGCTAGCTAGGGACCACAAAATATTCTTGTGCAGCTGCACAAGAATATGAGTAGATGTGTCATATTCTTCTCATTAACTTCTAAAAAATGCCATTTGAAATTTCTGATAAACAAGCATCTATTCTACCCAACAAAGGAATCCATAAGGAAATACCACATTGAATTCTTTCAGCCATCTATCTCAATGCCTTATCTACAATTTAACCTAAATTTATATACACATTTAGAATTCATACTAGGCGGTCCATGGAAATTGTTAGAAAGCTTGGATCTAGACCAAAAAAAAGGAAAAACTTACAATGCAATTTACAAGAGTAGTTTTTAATTTAATATCGAACTACAAAAATTGGACTGGATAGGGACATGATACCTAGAAAGTTATAATTGCTTTGAATCATTATATGCTAAAAGCAAGTATAAGGATCAACAAACTTACCGTGTGCTTCCCATCAAGGTAGTCTAGATCATCACGAAGTGTAAAATAGAACTGAAAAGCAAAGCAGTTTTATAAGCAGAAACGTTAGTGGTTTCCATAATGCCTAGAGCTACTAACAAACTAACAACTCATCTTTTCGAAGCCTTATATTCTTTGTAGAACATGAACAAAGTTCTTATCATAATAAACTGAAATAAAAGAGATTTTGGGTAATAATGAATCAAGCAAAAGAACCCCATACTTGAGAAGAATGAAGATTCTGCCCAGCGCTAGCCATTGCAACAGTGCCTCTCTTAGAATGCTTTAAATCAAGATGAATCTCATCACTGACAAACCGAGCCTGATCATCATAAAGAAATCCGAAAGAATAATCAAAAAGACTGGTAACCTAAAACAAGTCACACCACAGAACTAGAAACTTAAACAAATGACAACCGCGGTAATCCAATATAAAGTACCAAGAAATTAAGGTAGGAAATTGAGGCATATTCAAGAAAAAGAGAGCAAATTCTATAACCAAAGAGCACGTCTTTTATCTGTTTCTTACTTGTACACTGAGTCTCCACCTGAACCTGTCCCAGTTGGGTCCCCCGTTTGCGCGGTGAAATCCTTCTGAAACATGTGAAACAGACACCCATTATAATACTTAACCCTGCACGCAAAATCGACAATGAAAATGTGGAGAATTGAATTTTGGGAAAAAGAAGTTACTCGCAAAGCTTCAAGAAGCTTTTGCAGGTTAAGGGACATTTGACCGCGTGTAAATCCACCACAATATCGCCTAAGCTCGTCACTATTGGAACTGACATGGATTCTTAACACCGTGTTGAGTAGTGAGGAAGGAAAATGAAGGAAGCAAAGGAGAAAGAGAGAGCACTAGGAAGAAAAGGAAAAAGAATCAGAGAGAGAAGCAGAGAGTTGGGGGGTTGGGGGCTGGGCAGACAAGAAGAGAGCAAAAGATGAAGGAGGTTGCGACTTTGCGAGCCGAGAAACCTTCGACAGATGGAGGAGGGGAAGTGGCAAGTATCTTCTTTGAACTGAAGGTGCCAAAAGAAGACCCAAGCTTGTAGGCTTGTTTTAACTTCGGTCGGGCTTGGATATAGATTTTTAAGCCGTTTCAATTCAGTCCGAATATATTATTACTATTATTAGAGAAAAATCTATTTTTATATTACAATATTTTAATGTCTTAAAATAATTCTAGAACCAGATGTTATATTAATAAGAAAATTTTTTATTATAATTAATTATTAAAATAGATAAAATTTTATTTGAATCATGCCCAAAGCCCCATCATCTCTTATCTAAACCCAAGCAATTAAATTCAATTTTTCATTTTCATTTTGGTACAAGTAATCTTTTCACTCTATATTTTATATACACTCATTACGGAGTGAAATAAATAAATAGTGAAAGAAAAACAAACAATAAAAAAACGCGAGTCAAAAGAAAGTTGAGTAATTGCTTGTGTGATTTTTTCAAAATAAAGAAAAAGTACAAGCTATTTTAAAAATATGATCCCTAATTGATCTTACTTAAAACATTTTTGTCATAAAATTACTTAGTTTTTATTTTGTGAATTGATATCGAATTGTTATCATTTAATTCATGCACTAAAACTCAATTAAGAGCTTTATTAATGCAGAGATGATTTTTGGATGTTACTCTAACAATATGATCTATTCAGATGATCCAAAGATTCTCCCTTATATAATATTTTCAAAAATTAATATCACAAATAATCCTTAAATTATAATTAAATATTTCATATAATATCTAAATTTTAAAAATCTTTTATATAATACATGATTAATTTAAAATAATAATACGTAACAAATAATTTATTTATAATTCAAATACCACATTAAAAATTTATGAAGTTCAAATATCATATTAAATATTTTCCTACAATTTTGATATTATTCATTTCATGATTCCTATTTTCAATAAGAATTAAATTAGATACGAATATGGTTGAAAAAAATTAAAGCTAGAATCAAAGCTAACACTGACGGTGTTGAAAAAGGTAGAGGAAAACTGAAACTAAGCGGTAGGAAAGTAAAAATAAGGACATAAACACAAGTAAATATAATTGAAACTCTTGCATAACAAACATGGCAATCATCAAGATAAAACAGACACTGAATTGGTTAAGTTCAGAAAGTAACAATCGTTATGAAGAAAAACAATGTATGCCATTGAATTATCGTTCACCAGAGAAACTTAAAAGGTTAATCCTTACTGCTGTTGCTGCTGCACTTCGGATTCTATACGATCACTTTCTTTTTTGAAAAATTCAAATTCCTGGATAAGTTTTGCCAGCTTTGTGGCATTCTCTTCTTGGATATAAGATGGAACTTTTTCTTGATACCCGGACGCATTCATAATCTTCTTCAACTTCTCTTGCTGCCTGTTTAAATAGAAAACTTGATCCTGTAAGTCATTGACATATTACACCAGTATAGAAGAAAAAAAATCATTGGAAAAGTATGCTAGCAACTCTGTTGCCATATTGACATCTTTCGGAGATTGACTTTAAGTACTCATCCATATATCATTCTTGAATAGATAGCACTTACTTCAGTATTTCATCTATTTTATTCTTGATCTTTTCGAGCTCTGCTTCTGCATTTAGAGTACCATGAACCTTAAGATAAACTTTAAGGTTTTCATTAACATTCTCGAATGCACATCCAGCTGGAGCATCATCTACATCACTCAGTAGAACCTGCAAAGTTTTCATTCCATACTTAAAAATTAAACATAAACATTAACCAAAAGATAATCTAAAATTCTAAATTAGAACTGATGATATCCAATGTTCAATATGCTGCAATACCTTTAGAGATGATAAAGAGGCAAGGGTTAAGATCTCCAATTCACAAGATCTGATGATTTCTGCCACTTCATCATTTTGACAGAATATGAAGCCAGGTAATCTGAACAAAATTCATTAATGCAATATAGTTGTTATTGATAATGTGACTTTAAATAAGAGGACAAAGAGATGCTGTGACTTATGTCAAAGCAATCAAAAAGCCAGCTTCTTTGAAGATTAAAAGAAAAAAGACAATGCTTCACATATGAACCTTTCATTCTTTTGCTTAGCAAGCAGCTCTGCTCTAAGTGACCTCAAAGACCTTACAGTGGACTCTACAATGTCCATTTCATATTCCACCCTTTCATTCGTCCAGCTCTGTAAAGGGAAAAAAAAAACAGCATTTGCACAAAAACTGAAATAAAAAGTTGAACTTGCACAATTTTTTGTTCATAGTTATCATGATTTTCAGTTTTCGGGATAACCAAACCACAAAGTATTAGCCAAATGAAACTGGAAATTACCTCTATTGGTGATGGGTATTCGCATATCATTATAGATTCTTTCCTTGTGTGGCTCTTTACTCCTGGAAGGCGTTGCCATAGTTCTTCAGTAACAAATGGCATAAATGGATGAAGTAAACGTAGGCCATTTTCCAAACAAACCCAAAGAGCATCTTGAGCAAATTTCCTTTCAGAGGAAAAGGCCAGATTATCACCAGCGAAGTAAGGCTTGATTGCTTCAATGAAAATGTCACAGAATTGATACTGCCACCAAGAATACACACTGGTCGCAGCATCTGAAAATTCGTATGCATTTAATGACAATACAGTCTTTGATATAGCCTTGTTCAACACTGAGAGTATCCACTGACAACTGAAAGGCATTGTCCCCGGATTTATGGTTGATGGAGGAGCATAGTCATCTGGAAGTTTACTCATAGCAAAACGAACAGCATTCCACAATTTATTACACCATTGACGATAGCCAACCACTCTTTGGATATCCAAATTTATTTTATCTGACTGAAACGAAAAAATAATTAAAAAAAATTAGCTGAGAGATGCAAGGTTCTTTGAGAAGAATGCAAGGAACAAAAAGTTTGATCAGAGTGGAAATATATCATTAACAAAATAAGCAAGTAGAAGTATGAACCTGAGCAGTGTAGGAAACAAGAGCAAACCGGAGAGCATCTGCACCACATTCAGCAATACCATTGGGAAAATCTTTCATCTGCCCTAATTTGGCAGTGGCCAGCTCATTAGGATCCAAGTTACCCTCATCCAGCCTCTTCTGGAGACCTTCAAGTGATATCCCATTTATCACTTCAAGAGGATCAATTACATTTCCCAAAGACTTTGACATCTTACGCCCGTGAGCATCTCGGATCATGGGATGCAAGTAAACCTGAAAAACAAGAAAATCATCAAGGGTCAACAAAGAACCTGAAGCACCACCACAAAATTGCTGTTATATAATTTAGGACAAATATTTCACGCACCTTTCTGAATGGTACATCACCTCCCATCTTAATTCCCAACATAACCATTCGAGCAACCCAGAAAAAGAGAATGTCATGTCCAGTTTCAAGGACTGATGTTGGATAAAATGCTTTTAAATCATCTGTATCATCAGGCCATCCCAACACAGATAAAGGAAAAACACCAGAAGAAAACCAAGTGTCAAGTACATCAGGATCTTGAGACATCTCAAACTTCTTTCCAGAAAATTTCTTCTTAGCTTCTGCTAGAGCCTGTTCCTCATCTCTGGCAACTATCCAGTGATCATTATAAGCACCAAGTTCCTTCATTTCATCATCTTCCAATGTAACATACCATGCAGGAATACGGTGACCCCACCAAAGCTGCCTTGAAATACACCAATCACGTATGTTCTCAAGCCATCTGCAACATTTGAAACCTATCACTCACCTTACACAGCCAATAAAACTGGACAGAATAAGATAAGTATGACCGAGCACAATACAAATTAAGCCAAGCCATTGAGCCATTAAGACATTTGATGGAAAACAATGAGAATTATTAACCTAAAATTTGTAGAAGCAATGGTTTCCTTCATCAATTTTTTTTCAGGCCTTTGCTTAATCAGATTGCAGAAGCAATCTAGGTCAATATGAGAATCTGACAGCATTCAACATAAAAATAGTCACAACTACTCAAGCAAGATTATTATTCTACAACATATTGGCAGCAAGAAAAAGAACATACTAAGTAAGTACCTTTTCCATTCAGCAGTATACTGCTTTGGAATGAACTCAAGCTTCCTGTTTTGATCATCCATGGCTGCATCAAGAGCCTGCTTGGCCATGCTACTGCAGTTAACATACCACTGGGGCTTTATCATTGGCTCCACAACATCATTGCTTCTTGAACAAAGGCCAAGGCGCATCTCATTATTTTGAGCTCCTCTATACAAGTTCTAGTGATGAAGAAATAAATTAATGAATTTAAGATCATGCATTGGTGATATTAGAAATTATTTAAAGCCAAAAATAATACATATACATGTAAAAAAGAAGGCAACAAATTGCACTAATCTACAATTTAGAGACTTTTCATGCCTTCATATTGGTTATCAACAGTGTTGCCGTGACTCTTCATTTTCCAACACATGCAACGGACATGAGTATGAAGGTTCAACCCTCCCAATATACGGAGTAAATTAGAAAAAAAAGAAAAGAAAAGAAAAAAACCACATACCTACGTCGGAGACATCATAACCGACACTCAACCCCAAGTCCAAGTAATATAGGTCATCTATCCTACAACAAAAGAATGTACTTGACTCAAAGCATAACTAATGCATGACATTGCTTGTCTTTCAGATTTATTTTCTTTCTTTCAGTTTTTTTTAATCTCATAATAGTAAATCAATCCTTCTTTAATACCATAGAACGATCATCAATCAATGTTTTATAATCCTCCAAAGACTGACAACCGTAGTTAATAAACCAAAATTTACAGTTTAATTAATCGTAAGTGATAATTTTACTTCTCAATTGGCAGCTTTTGAAATAGCAAAATGTCTAAGACAGAAGTAATACTGAAATCCCAAAGGTTCAATAGGAACCATAATTCAGTAAGCTATCAGCATTACCCTCCGTTCTAGCACCTTCTTTCTAGGTATGTTAGTATGTTTATTTAGTTAATTATTTCTGCTGGTGCCAGGCATTTACTAAATATGTGGTCCTAAGTAGAGTGCTATTGTGAAATATGATTACATAGTGGATTCAGCACAGTGGAAAAAGACTTTGTTGAAGTTTGGCGTAGAGCACTGGCCTTTTATACCAAATGGCAGCAGGTTTAATTCTTGCTACACCCAAAGGTGAGGTGCAAGGAGGGGAACACACCCATAATCAAGAAATTTGACTATCAATACCACCACAGCAGTGAAATTAAATTTATGAAAAATTGCATGATCTCAAATTAAAAGATAAGTCTTCCCATATACATATCAATGAAATCAAATACCTTCTTCCGCAATGCATCAATCACAGCCTCACGAGCCTTAAACCTTGGCATTCCAGCAAATTCTGCTCCACCATTGCTATTTATTGTCCCATCATCAGTGAAAATGTTAATAAATTCAAGATTATGGCGCTTGCCCACCTCAAAATCATTTGGATCATGAGCTGGAGTTATCTGTGCAACATTGCAGATAATGACAACAAAAATCAACCAAAACAAGGAGAGACAAACATTTAGTTATAGCATCTCATAGTCAATGATTGAACTTTTACCTTAACTGCACCAGTTCCAAAACTTGGATCAACCAGCAATGCATCACAGATTATTGGGAGTTTTCTTCCATTGAAAGGATGAATCGCAAATTTCCCATGCAGATGACTGTACCTCTTGTCTTCCGGATGAATAGCTATAGCTGTATCACCAAGCATTGTTTCCACCCTTGTAGTGGCAACAACGATTTCACCCAGTTCTCCCTCCAAGGGGTAAGCAAATGATGTCAATACTCCAAACTCCACTGGTTTTTGGTAACCAGGGACCTTTAACAAAGTTCTTTCTTTGATGTCTGTATAATCTACCTAGAAACATGAAGCAACTTCAAGATATACAGCAGAAGATGCAAAAACAAAAACAACCCAAAGAAATGACATACCTCAATATCAGAGATAGCAGTTCGTAAGACACAGTCCCAATTGACTAGCCGTAGATCCCTGTAAAATGCAAGGAGAAATCTGAGAGGAAATGCAATGAAAAAGACAAAAAGCTTATGCAGAATCAATAAATAAAAGATTTTTTGTTTGCAAAATAGTGTTGAAAGACCAGTTAATGTATGAAGATATTCTATAAAAATTCCCATTCCTGAGAAAATCCTTATATAACATCCTCTAATAGCTATTCCTCAGCATAAAAGTCAACTTGCAACAATTTCTTAAAAGAATTTAGTGTAGAAAGTCGGTACCATTGAAATACATGGCAAAACTATGAGAAAGAATCGGGACAAAGAAATCTAGAATTCAGGGTTAAATTTTTTATTTGATAGGATACTTTCGAAACATATTTGGATCTTGTCTCTGTGTGGTTTATTTTCAGTAGAAATGGGGAAAAGGCACAAAAGATAATAGAAGAAAATGAAAGAATAGTTTTATAGTTTTCTGTTGCCAGGCTAGATAAATTAAGTGAGAGAAATAAGCTAGTAAAAGAGAAAAGATTCTAAAATTTATTTTCTTTCTTTCTAGTATTACTTATTTTCCCCCTCAATAGAAAATACTTCTGAAATCTCTGCTCTTTCCTTGTTCTCTAAGGGTAAGCCCGACAGACTTGATTTATCTCAACATCAATGTCATGCTGTTGTCACTCTATTTTTCTTAACACTTTGAGTTATAAAAGCTACTTAACAGTTATTGAAGATTTACTGCAATTGGTCTCTTGCATTGGCCTATAAGCTGTAGGTAAGAACATCTATGCTATTTTGTTTTAAAACAACTATGCTTGTTGGTTTCCTGTTATCAACCAATTTGGAATCCTAATCCCAACACAATAGTGAATATTGTTTTCTTATAAAGAAAATAGAGAATCATAAAGCTTCTTCCTCAAAAGGTTTTATACTTTCAGTTAAGGTAAGAGTTTGACCATCACTCCTCACCAAAGTGCAATCTAGAAACATAGTTTCATCACCTTGTCCATCATTAACAATCCTATCCTGGAATCTTAATTTATCTTTACAACAGCTCAATACTAAATTCCTGAAGATGCTATCTTTTAGTAGCTTTCCAGTAATTGCTGCACAGGTTTATTTCACAATTCTAGACAGCATGCCAGCAAGCAATCCTTTTTCTAGTTTCTATTTGTAGTCATGAATTCATCTTTGATACTGAATTCACAGATCCTACATGAAGAACAACAATTTATTTTGCATAAACTACCAAATATTTTTTTCAAAAAAAAAAGAATCTTTTATTTTTATAATTAACTGTTCACATTGGAACTAATAAGAACAAGACAAGAATAATTTTATAACATGCATTCATGCAAGCATTCAAGATGCATATCTGTCATAACAAGCTCAATACCAAAGTCATCTCACCTAATAAAGTGAAAATAAATAGGGAAGTAACTTATTTTCCTTTTTAACTGTATTACAAAACTTCATTTTAAAGAAGGGAGAAAAATGTTATTTAAATTATCAGGCTATTGCAATATTTGAAGCAAGGTTTAAAGGCTTAAAATGAAATTACGAGACAAGAATAAATTTTAGAACAGGTAAAAACTGTGCACAACTAATCTATTATTATAAATGCTCTCAACAATTCATTTTTACTATCAGCAACAAAAATTTTATCACATCATAGAATAACAGAAATTCTTCCCAAGTAAAACATACCTATAAATAAGATCCTCCTCATAAAGCCTACAGAAAGCCTCTGTCACAGCATTTGACCTCTTCTCGTCCATTGTAAAGCACTAGGAAAAGTAAATAAGAAAATATAATAAGAATGAAAAGGCAGCAAGAAATGTGAGAAGCATATTAATAAAACAACCAAAGATAAATTTAACTATCTAGCCCTTAGTCAATACAAGGAGAATAGTTTATATGAGTAAAGGATGCCATATACATTTTACCTCACGGGACCAATCAAGGGAGGCACCCATCCGCCTTTGTTGTGCCAGAATGGCACCACCATACTGAGTCTTCCACTTCCAAACCTAATAATTGGGGCATCAACAAAAAACCACAAGGACGTTAATCAATAATTTCCAACTTAATTTAGAGTTAAAACTCAAACAAACTTGGTTTCAAAGCTAAAACTTGCTCAAACATGGTTTCCAACTTAAAACTCACTTCATTTACAAACTCTTCACGACCAACATCATGCCTTGTTAAGTGTCTTTCACGCATTAGCTTTTTCTCTACAACCACCTGGAAATTCACACATTAGAGCAACTTCAAGACACCCTTGTCTATGTCAAACAAAGGGAAAAAGAGGGAGTAATTTAAATACAATGCAAAATATAAGGAAATGATTCTTAAGTTTTAACTGATCCAAGAAAATACTAAAGAAGCTCAACCTGTGTAGCTATCCCAGCATGATCCATGCCAGGTACCCACAATGCATTATATCCAGACATTCTTCTCCAACGAATGATAGTGTCCTGCACGAAATAAAATTTACATTTACAACGTAAAAATAGCCAAGCAAATATAGCAGCAGTAGCATTCTATCATGCAACCTGTATGGCACTAGTTAGGGCATGGCCAATGTGCAGGGCCCCAGTCACATTGGGCGGAGGAAGAACCTGCAAAATGAGTCCGGTTATCAAAGAACCACAAATTTAGGTTAAAAATGGTAATTAAAAGGGTAAAGTGAATTCCAGTTTGACTCATACAATAACAAAAGGTGGTTTTGAGCTGCTTGCATCAGCAAGAAAAAACCCTGATTTCTCCCACCAAGCATACCATCTAAACATACATAGACAAATAATGCAAAAGTTATAAGAAAAAGTTAACTTTAAAGCATATCCAACAATAATTCATCAAGAGAACTTTTTCCACACTCACGACTTCTCCACAGCAGCTGGACTATACTGTTTGGCCATTTGACTAGCGAGTCTTTTCTTCTCACCCAAAGGAGTCTCTGGATCCACAAAATCTTCCGGATTCTCGTCATCCGCATCCCGCTTGGCATTCTTCTTTGCACTCTTTTTGGGAACATTGGAACCTTGTTGTGCCTTGGTAGAATTACAAGAAATAACACTCACAGATTTTAACATTTCTAAAACCAAAACAAACCAACCACATTAACAGTTTAACAAATTCCTAAGCAGATCTTCTTGCTGCTACCTTAAGTTTGGCTAACTCTGCTTTTTCTAAAGCCTTGAGTTTCTTCAGCTCCTTCTCCCTCGCCTATCAGACAAAAAGCACAAATAAGGCTAAATCACAAAATACCATAAACAAATCCATATTTTTGCTTTTTTTATGGATAAGCGAAAATTTGCTCAGAGATTTTCTATTTATTAATATACAATCATTTTTGCCAACAGTCGTGTGGTCTCTTAGTAGGGTGCTGGATTCTTAGTTATAGTGAACTACTTCAAATCGAGGGCTCTTCAAGTGCCGATAAAATATACATTCATATTGTTGTTTTGAAGTTTGAGCATTTAAATCGAAGAGAAAAATTAGTAGTAATTGAAGTAGATCGAAAATGAAAAAAAAAAAAAAAAACCTTTTCTTCCTTCTTCTTCTTTCGTTCAAGCTCTTCTTCAGTCAAAGGCTTCATATCCGGTTGCTGAGACTGCAAATTGAAAACACACACAAAAAAAAAATCAATGAAATAAGAGAATTTGTGATTGATGAAAAGCAATGGAAAACGAAGTAAGAAAAGTAACCATGGTTGAGGTTGATGCCAGACAGAACGGCGCCACCGGCTATGGGTATGTATTTATTTCTGAGGGTTTCTTTTATGCGCTTCGACTCACCGTAAAACAACAGAATAAATTTAGCGTTTTCTTTACGTCTTTACCCAAACTAAGATTGCTTGTAATTTTAGGCTCAGTTAGTTTTTTTGAAAAATAATTTCTGCAATTAGGTATTTATGTAGAAAAAAATTGATTGATCAATAAAAAATAATTTAGTAATCAATAGAAAATGAGAAAAATTTTTGAAATATTTTTTATTGAAAAGTGCAAGACAATTTTTGAAAAAAAATTGTTTATGATTAAAATTATTTATATATTTAGTATAATTTAACTTAAGTCAAACCTTATATGTAATTTTTTAAGTTCAAATTTAATTTGATTTAGCTTAAAATATTATTACATAATAAATAATATTTTTATTTAATTTTATTTAACAAATTAAAAAATTAATATTAAAATTTTTAATATTTTAATATTAAATATTTTATAATTCTAATCAAATAAAACTTCTAATATAATATTTTAAATTCAAATTTTATTTGATTTGATATAAAATATTATTATATTAATAAAATATTTTATTTAATTTTAATTAAAAATTTAAAATATTAGCATAAAAGTCTTTTGATCTTTTAATTTTAAATATTTTAATTTTTTTATTTTATTAAACATAAATATTTTTAATATTTCAATAATAAATAGTATTATATTATTATTTTAATAATAAATAATAACATATATACTAATATTTTATTATTTTCATAATTAATGCTAAATAATATAATAATATGATTTTCTTAATATGAATATTTCTAGTAATTTCTTATTATTTTTTTAGTTTGAAATGTATATAATTTTATATTTTATATATTATAGTATTTATATTATTTTAATAATAAATATAAATAAAAAATATTTTTGTTATGATTTAATAATAGATACTTTCAATATTAATTATAAATATTACTATTTTAATATTAATAAAAATAATATTTTAAGAATAGTAATACTATTTTAAATATTTTAAAATACTAATATAAAGAATAATAAATAGTTTTATTTTAAGTATTTTTATATTAATATAATATTTTAACATTAAATATTATTAAAATATAATTATTCTTGAATATTAATAATTTTAATAATAAATAATTTCAATATACTTTAAAAATAAATAATTTTTAATATTTTAATAATTATATTAATATTTGAAAAGAAACAAATTTTTTAAAAAACAGATAAATAACAAAAAATATTTTTATTAATTTATTTAAATAATAGAAATTTTTAACTTTTTCAAAAAAATGTAAACATTTTTCAAAAAATATTTTTTAAAAATTAATTTTTGCAAAACAAATAGAATCTTCTTTCCCAAATTAAGATATTTCTAAATTTTTACTAATTTTAAACCCATACAATGCACAAATATGCAATTATATATATGTATATATATATATATATGTGTGTATAAAATCAATTTTTGCAAAACAAATGGAACCTTATTTCTTAAATTAAGACATTTTTAAATTTTGCTAATTTTAAATCCATGCGATACATGAATATACAACTATATAAATATATATATAACTTAGTTATATATAATATAACTAATAAATTTTATATAAAAAACAAAAATATTGTATATCAATATATACCTATATAATATAAAAAAATACTTTGTCTCATATCTTATCTAATAGTGATATTTATATAAAATTAAATAATGTCCTGATTTCAAATGATAGAAATTTATTCTACTTAAAATCAATTTTTTTGTAGAAACTTTTGCTTAATGTTACCCCTTGCTTTGGTGCAAGACATTTAGAACTCGCAATAACAATAGCAAACTCTTGAATAGGTAGTGCTCATCCTTGTGTTGTATTCACAAAAGTCAAAATAGTTCAAATTGAATTTACATTATTTGATGAATAGGATTAAAACAATTTATTACATATTAAATATGGATAAAACTGTAAATGAAAGATAAATAAAAGAGTAAAAACTTATGTCAAATTCTAACAAACTTCAAATTTAACTAAAAAAATCTCACCTTATTTACTTCCATTATTAGTCATAAAGAAAAATTTAGCAAAATCTCTAAGAACTAAAAACTAAAAAGAGATAAAACATATGAAATTATTCTATTTAAAAGTAAAAAAAAAAAAGCTAATATTGCAAATAAATGGATAAATGGAGTATGAACATATATAAAAAAATGAATAAAAGATAAATAAAATCAACCGACAAACATGACAAAAAAAAGTTTATCAACATAAAAAGATATGTAACTTAGTGGTCAAAATTTTCTTGATCATAATGAGATCAATGCATTAAGAGGCTTTTGAATAGGGGTATAATCGATCAAATTCAAATTGATACAGTATTAAGCTGAGCTCAAATCAAAATTCAAGACTTGAAACTCGACTTGAGTTCGATCGAGTTTTATTTTTTTAGCTCAAGATAAAAATCAAACTACTTAAGCTAATTTGGTTAGGTTTAATTAACATGTAAAAATAAATTCGATTCTTATATTTGACAAAAACTTAATTATTTGTGCTCAAACTTGAATTCGAGATATTTTATTAATTAAAATAATAAAAATATATTAAAATAGAAAAATTCGATTAGGCTCGCAAGTTACTTGAGCTAAGATATAAAAATATTCGAACTCGGCTCAATTGATAAGTTGAGCTATTTGAGCTCGAGCTCGATTTGATAATAATTAAGCCGAATTTGAGTTTTATTTGAGTCGAACCCGAATAATTTATAAATATTAATATATCATTTACACCTTTACTTTTGAAGACTAACCTCCTATTACTCTTAGCATACAGAAAATTTCTATTTTTAATAAGAATTTGGGAGACTTTTATAAATTGAAAGTAATTTAAGCAAAAAATTATAATGAGTTATTAATTATTTATGTAATATATCTTTTATTTTGAAAAGTCTACACAATATTTTGAAAAATTCTTGTAAGATAATAAATTGTACTAATTGTAATTAATATTTATATAGAAGGACATATGAAAATATGCTTTCAACTAATTAGACTTTTATTTTAGGTTTGAATTTTTAGCATTATATGTCTTATATATTCATTTAGGTTAATAAATATATAAATTATTTCTTAATTAAATATTAAAATCACGATCATTAATATAGTCAGTGCTTTCAAAACATATTTTTTTATTTATAATATACATGTTTGATGTGTAAAATTAAGAATTGAATATGGTTGAAAATGATTTAAGATAATTTAATTATAACACATTATAAAAGGCAAAAATATTGGATATTTATAAGAAAATAAATAACCTAATTAAGACAAATAAATATCTTTTAAATTAATAAAATGTATATGAAGTCAAATCAAAATAATTAAATGCAGGGCACATGGTGATTATTCAAAGTAATCCACATGTAAAAAAAAATAAATTATTCACATTGGATTTTTTTTTCTTTTTTATCAAAAGTTTTAGTTTTTATATATTTATATAAAATAAGATGAGATACACGACTTATTAATCACAACTAGTATATATAAAATTTAACATTATAATATATGATTGATTTTATAACAAAAATAAAAATACTAACATTATAATGTGTCATTAATCTTATATAAATATATAAAATCATTATATTATTTATATATATATTTGTACATGAATAGCATCAATTATTCAGTTGGATATCATATTTAATCAAATATGAATGTATCAAATAATTGATTAAGAAATCAACTCTTAACTATAATTTTAGTGGTTATTAAATTTTTTATAATATTTTTTATTAGATTTTAATAGAAGTTCTTTGAATCAGTAAAAAAATGTTTAATGACCATAATTATAATTTTTATTAGTTCTGTGAATCATTAAGAAATTATTTGATTATAATGTATCATCGATTTAGTTTTGACTTATAATTTAAGATATTTTATTGACAATCAAAGGTAAGTCAATCAAAAAATTTTTAAAAAATAAATATAATAAATGCATTAAAATATTTTAAAAATTTTATAAAATTAAATCAATCATATTAATTTAAAGAAAAATAAATATGAACCAATATAGCTAATACAAAACACGTGACGATTGATAAAGGTTGTCCACATATTAATATTATAGGCCTTCCAAATTGAATATTTTCTTTTTTTATTAGAAATTTTGATTTTTATATATTTATATAAGATTTCTAAACATATGTAATTTGGTATTGCTAAATTCCATATCAACAAGGGAAAGGATTCCTTTATTTTATTTTTATTTATGTCATATACAAACAAGGGAAAGAATTCCCCATTTTCTTTTGTTTCTTTTCCATTTCTCTCCCTTTACCTCAATCCAAACATATTGTAAAAGAAAACTACTTCTATTCCATTAATGTTTCTTACCATCTCCCTTTTTTCTCCCCTAAAACCATATTCATATTTCTTTCAAAACTATTTTTTTTTCTTCTAGCAATGTATAAGACATCAACAAAGAAAGGTAAAAAAACAAATATTTGGATGAAAAACAATTGGTAGCTTTCATTCACTACAAGAAAATAAAAGACTAAAGGCAGTTTTGTAATGGCGTTTCACTTACAAATGCCGTTAGCTTCCGTGTTTTTATAAAACTTAAGGCATTTATTATCAGAATGTCACCAAATATTCAAATAGTGATGTTGTTACTTATAAATGCCACCTAAGACTTGATATTAGCGGCATTTATTAACTAAAATGCCTTGAATAATCCTGTCTTAAAATTTTGAATGAATACTAAAGGCATTTTTGGTAGAAATTGGCTTGAATAATCTAGTTAAAAAAATTGATAAAGAATTACTTAAGGCATTTTTGGTAAACAACGCCTTGAATAATTCCCTCATAAAAAAATGTATGTGATTATTGAAGGTGTTTTCTACAGGAAACGCCTTTAATAATTCCACGAAAAAATTTCACAGGATTATTAAAGATATTTTTGGTCAAAAATGCCTTTAATAAATATCTTATCAAAATTTTAGGATCATACAGATGTTAAACACAAGTTGGTAGGTTCGATCCTTCCTTTTAGTCTTTTTTAGATTTTTGCAGGGATTATTTGTAATAGATTATTCTAGGCATTTTTTGGGTAAAAACGCATTCACCAATCAATTTAAAAAATTTTAGAGAGAATATTAAAAGCGTTTT